ACAATTAATACAGCGCCATCTAGTCCCAAGGTGAGCAGAGCTTGTGGTTTGGGCACTTGACTAAGTATATATATATATATACTTAGATATTGTTTTTTTTTGTAAACACATATATAATAATATTATGTGCCAAAGGGCGACAGAACGTAAACGGTAAATTATACAATAGAGCTCATCAAAATGTTCACTGTAATTTTTTTACTTCTTTTACTAATCTATAAGTGGTATCTTTCTGTTAGCTCTAGACTCATAGGTGTTATTTTTTAATATAAAAATTATAACGTTTTAGATACCATTTTTGGAAAAGAAAATAGTTTCAGTTTTTGGCATTTAATCAGCGATATACATACAAATAAATGATTTTTGAATTTGAATTTGTATTTGAATTTCGCCGACGATACAACACTTACCTTATAAATACATATATCTATACCATTTTTCATACCCTAAGTGACAAGGGTTGTCTATCACCAACCCCTATGTTTTAATAGCGATTTTAATTTTTATGGCAAAACAACATCGACTGTGGCAGGTAGTATATATAACTAGGTACGTAATGCAATCATTAATTATGTTATCAGAAGGTTATATTAATTAAAAAAAAATTGGTACAGTCTATACATCATCATCATTGCCTTGTCTTTATCCCATTATTTGTGGTCGGCGCAGTATGTCATTCTCTTCCACTGCTCTCTATCGGTCGTCATATCTAAACATACTTTTCTTTTATTCATATAAATAAGTCTATACATATAAATAAAATTGGAGTGTCTGTTTGTAATATTGAAATAATCGTTTTTTACTACATGCATATGAATATAAATACGGTACATACAACAAAAGTTAAACTTATAATTTATTCTAAGATCTGTGTTACCTGTAAATTCACAAATAAACAATTTGAATTTGAATCTATTCATTTACTAGCTGTACCTGCGACTTCGTCCGCGTGGAATTTAACTTTATTTTTCTAAAATAAAAGTATATATTAAATATATACATCATAAATAAAAAAGTCCCGTCAAAATCGGTCGAGCTGTTCGGTCAGAGATTAGCCTGAACATACAGACAGACAAAAATTGTAAAAAAAATGTTATTTTGGTGTATGTACCGTATGTAGGTATATTCATATGCATGTAGTAAAAACGTTCATTTCGATATTACAAACAGATACTCCAATTTTATTTATATATATAGATTTCGCGCAATTTACATAATATCTTTTTAAATTATAGCCTATATAATATTCTTGTGTACAAGTTATATTACTGTAAAATTTCATCAAAATGTGTTCAGTAGTCTTTGCGTGAAAGAGTAAAAACATCCACCATCCATCCATCCATCGATACTCACAAACATTTACTTTTGTAATATTATTACATGTAATATTATATTACCTGTAGTCTTATACCACAGATAAATCATAACCATTCAAAATGAATCTCATTGTTAACCGAATAATATAAAACAGTGTATATATGTATACATAATGTATAAATCAAATTATTTTGTATAACTGTTAGCGTCTCAAAAGCTGTACAAACATGTAATATATAAAATATATTACATTCTACGTCAATATATGAAATATTATTAATACAAATCAATATAATAAGTAGTTAATATTGTAAGTTGATAAGGTTATGTTCACTTTCAAAGATGGCGCCCGTAAGAAGTGTATTGTGTGTTCTAAATTTGGTAAGTGTAACCAAAATAATTTTAATAAATACCAAAATACCTTGAAATTGAATAAAATAGTTTCTTAAACACACTTGCTCGTAAATTAGATTGTATTTTACCGGTTTTCGATGTATAAAATAACTTAATTGATTAATATTGGAAGTCGATAGGGTTATGTTCACTTTCAAAGATGGCGCCCGTAAGGAGTGTATTGTGTGTTCTAAATTTGGTAAGTAATACCAAAATATCTTAGAATTAAATAAAATAGTTTTTTAAATATTTCGTAAATTAGTTTGTTTTTTACCGGTTTTAGACTGTATAAAATTTAAATGGTTAATATTGTCAAATAATGTTATGCTCACTTTCAAAGATCGCCCGTAAAGAGTTATTTTGCATTCTAAATTAAGGTTAAACAGAACCAAAAAAAAAATATCACCTTAGTAATTATTTGTTTAATAAAATAGTTTTTAAACACATTATTTTAAAGTTTAAATTGGATTTGTTTTCGACAAATTGATATAAACACGCGTGCATTATGAATGTATCCAAACAGTAAAGTATATGTCCGGAATAAAACGATTCCTATATTTGACCTATTTTTATCCGAAATTTCATATCCACAATAACATCCACTGATTTTAACTTCTACAAAAAGCTGTAATTCTAAACACCTGTAGAATAGTCCGCAAATTTTTGTCATCATAATAATTTCTTTTATAATTGTCATTGTTTGGTGATTTTCACCCGCAATGACGAGTTTAACACCCAATCAAAGGGAGATATATAAAATATATACATAAATAATAACAATTATCTTTACTTAACTCGGAAGGATTATTACAATATCATTACAAAGTATAAAACAAAGTCGCGGTCGCTGTCTGTCCGTCCCTATGTATGCTTAAATCTTTAAAACTACGCAACGGATTTTGAAGCGGTTTTTTTTAATATATACAGTGATTCTAGAGGAAGGCTTATGTGTACACCCGTTAACATGTACACCCGTGCGAAGCTTCCGGGTGACGGCCTGTTTTTAGGGATATTTTAAAGTTGTCGCTGTGTACGACCGTAAATATGTATGCTGAAATCTTTAAAACTACGCAACGGATTTTGATGCGGTTTGTTTTAATAGATACAGTGATTCTAGAGGAAGGTTTATATATATAACTAGATGAAAACCCGGCTTCGCTCGTGTAGATATTTGTGTAGACATCGGTTCTTAAAGAATATTAAGTAAGCAAGGCATAGATACGTAAAGCTTCGTTCATTGTGTTTAATAAATACTATAATAAATAATAAGTGCAAAAGTATTCATACAAATAACTTTTATTTTAAATCAACATTAAAAATAAATTAACAAAACATATAATTTTTAAAGTTTATTCTCTGTTAACCTCTTTGTTTTAAGCACTCTCTATTTTCGATTGATATAGTTAATTCCAATTGCTTACATATAAACATCTTTCCCTGTAAATTTCTTTCGGTTCGCCGATTTACATGGAGGAAAGTTTGAAAACACAGTTTTGAGAAAAACTTTTTAAAGTTTAGTCCGTTAAAAACGCGACTTACTGTCAATCGGCGATGCCTGGTCGTTTTCATAGAGTTTTGTCGCTCTTTCCTCGTGAAACTCTTTTAAACCACCGATTGTTCTCTTTCTTCCTCTTTTTCCTATGGCTTGTTTAACTTTCAACCTTACCCTCTCGTCCCGCGTAAGCCAATTGCTTTATCATCCCGTTTCTCTGGGGTCGAGCTTCACGACCATAAACATGCGGGGCATCCCATAATCGACCAGTAACTTTTAAAATATTTGAAAACATTCATTAAAGATAATAACTGCTAAGTAGCTAGCAATTTCAACAACTTTGGGACTAAATGACAGATGTTTAGGAGCGAAATTTTCCAAATCAAAGGCTGTATTCAAAGATTCGTTATTGTTTTGTGCTCTGCTCCTAAACAACGAATTAATAATTCGTCTTTCGATAAATCTTCGAAAACCGGTTTGATAGCATCTTGGACTTGCGGAATTAGAGGTGGTTTATCGTGATGAAATTGGTCCAGTTCATTATTAGCTTCAGCCTTACGCCATACTGTCTTCGCCTTCTGGACAAAATTGATGCTGAGGGTTTTCATCAGAAGATAGGATGAACATTTCCACTCGTACTTCCTTTCCGTCCGAAATTTCATTATGAAAAAAAATAATTTGTATTGTTGCTCTCTTCGACAGTTCAACCAAGATCTAAAATAACTTATATAAAATATTATAACAATAGAAATTTCTGTTTAAGTCTGTAGAAACGTGTCTAAACTTGTATAAACAAATATATTAATAAAAGGAGGCCAGGTATAAAGCCGACGGTACACAATAAGCCCGGTCTCTAACTGCCAACTCACCGCTCCGAACCGGATTTTCTTTTACCTGCTGTATCTTTAAAACGACTTCGAATTTTCTAAAATCGCTTTACTACCGTATTCTAGAAATGTTAAGGGAGCAATTTATGAAAAAAAAAAACGATTTTTTCAACCCATCTCATAGGAAGACCCCCTTAAAAGAACCATTTCATTCCTTAAAATAATTACTCACTAAACGATTACTTGAATGACGAGCGTGCATGGCAATAGTTGTTCATGCACAGGATTTTCATTTAATGTTAAACATAGACACCTATATAAATATACATTGTAAATAAAAATAAGCTGGCTTATAAAAAAACAAGTAATTCAATTGAGTTTCTTGCCAGTTCTTCTCAATTGGATCTATATACAGAACTGGACGGTATGGAAAAAATATAATGTAAATTTGACGTTCATAAGCGGCTGAAATGACCTATTAGGATAAAATTTTATGATTTTTGAATTTGAAAATTTGAAATTTATTATAATTACAAAATCGTATTGTCTATATTTGGTAGAGGGAGATGTCGCACTGTGATGTAGTGTATATTAAATTCGTTGACAATGATGACTGGTTCATCCCTCATACTCGTGAACGAGTGCTGCTTGTAGGGAATGATCTGTAGGTAATGAACAATGATTGGACTATACTTTTGACAAAGTTATAATAGCATATGCTAGTCACCCTATTATCCCAAATTTGAATTTAAAAATGAATCTGTATTATTGTAAACAATATTTGAAAAGAAAACGAGCTGAGTTTCTTGTCAGCTGTTCTGAGATAACTGACTGTAGATTTGACATATCATAAGAGTCTGTAAAAGACCTACATAAATATAGATATTTTGGTAGCTGTTCTGAGCTTAGCTGACGGTAGATTTGTCATATCACAAGGTTTGATTTGATTTGAACATTTAATTTCAGATCGTTGTCTGTAGCGCAATGCCTGGACTTTTTGATTTTGGTGAGTTTTTCCTACTAATAGAACTGTATATATATATACGATTATTTTAATAATAATAAATAACCCTGGACAATTAACATAGCGCCATCTAATCCCACCGTAAGCAGAGCTTGTTATGGGTACTAGACAACTGATATAAATACTTAGATATATATTTGACGACCTCGGTGGTCTAGCGGTCTAGGAAACCGCTTTATGTCCGATGGTCGCGGGTTCGATTCCTCGCACGGTACAAACATTTGTATTCATGAGTATGATTGTTTGTATCGGTCTGGGTGTTTTCTATGTATAAAATGTATCTATGTATTTGTATCAGTTATCTAGTACCCATAACACAAGCTTTAGCTAGCTTAACTTGGGTCTAGATGGCGCTGTGTGAATTGTCCTGAGATTATTATATATTTTTTGTAAATACATAAACACTCAGACTGCTACAAACAGTTATGCTAAATAATACAAATATTTGCACCATGCGAGGAATCGAACCCGCGATTATCGGAAGTAAAGTGGGGAATATAAATTGTCATATTTTGGTGTCGGCCAGATTTCAAGTTACGACCTTCCGGGTGTATTTCAGGGTAGAGAACCATCAAGCTACAAAGGTTTCTAAAATGACAACTGTTTGTTAAATATTAATGTTCATAGATAAAATATATTATAAACTAGCTGTTCACGCAACTTCGTCCGCGTGGAATTTATTTTTATACCTTTTTTTTTAAATTATAACCTAAACAAAAAAGAGGTTAGTAGTCTTAATTACTCCTTATTACATCAGCTGCCAATAAAAGAGCCGGAACAAACAGGCAGACAGACAAAAATTGTAAAAATGTTATTTTGGTGTATGTACCGTATTTATATATTTATATTCATACTAGCTGTCCCGGCAAACGTTGTTTTGTCATTAAATTAATAACGCTATAAAAAAATAGGGGTTGATGATAGAAGGGTGAAAATTAAGGATTGTATGTAGTATCATAAAAAAATAGATACTAAAAATTTAGTATAAAAAATAAAAAAAATATTGTGGTGGACTACCCCTAACATTTAGGGGGATGAAAAATAGATGTTGGCCGATTCTCAGACCTACTCAATACGCTCACAAAATTTCATGAGAATCAGTCAAGCCGTTTCGGAGGAGTATGGGAACGAAAACTGTGACACGAGAATTTTATATATAAGATATATGTAGTAAAAACGGTTATTTAAATATTACAAACAGATTATATTTATATGTATAGGTATGTTATGTATAATGTAATTATAATACACTATGATTATTTCTGTTTATTCATTCCATCATGCGCCATCCACCATGTTCTTTTCTCCTCTACCCAAAGGTCTGGAAGAGATCGCTTAAGTGATACTCCTCCTCCTTTTGTATCTACATACATACTATATCAGGGATATATGGGAGCTCCGACCCCGTAACCGAAACTATCGGATATCCGATATAAAAATATATTCGTAACCGTAACCAAATCCGAAATAAAAGTTTCGGATAATATCGGATAGGGGCGAAGCCTAATTGAGACACGTTATGTAACCATTTTATTAGCTATTTGTATTTTACTTCTGAAATTCCTTAAAAAATTAATATCCGTAACCGAAATTATCCGAAACTAACGGATAATCCGAAATTTCATATCTGCATCCGTATCCGTATCCGGTATAATAATCATTTCTATATCCGAAACCTATCCGTATCCTAAATTTCATATCCATAACATCCCTGATGAATATTGTTCTGTTCTTTATTTTATTGGACATAAAGAGTTATATATAAATATAAATTAACTATCTATTGCAGATCCATTTAAAGACGCACCGGACCCAAAGGAAGCTAAATCATTGGATGATTTGTCAGCGATAAAGAAATTGGCGGAAAAAATAATCGAAGGCGCCTTCAAGAGTCCCGTCGAAGGCGAGAAAATTCCCAATCCAGACGATTTCAAGAAATTCTTAAAAGACTTAAAGAAACTTACTACTCCCAAACCGGGTAAAACTACTACGCCATGTCCGGATGCGACAACGACTGGAAGCACTACTAGTGCTACTACTACTACATCATCAACGACACCTGCTACAACCACATCGGCTACGACAACAACATCGGCTACAACAACCACACCGGCAACAACAACATCGGCTACAACAACCACACCGGCTACAACAACATCGGCTACAACAACATCGGCTACAACAACACCGGCTACAACAACACCGGCTACAACAACATCGGCTACAACAACATCGGCTACAACAACGTCGGCTACAACGACTGAATCTTGCACAGCCCCCACTCCACCCTCCAAAATTCCGCCAAAATTGAAAGACCACTCTCCGATTGACAAATTTTTGAATCCAATAAAAGGTGCGGCGAAAGCAATAGGATCTGTGTTTTAAATGCAAATGTAATAATTACAACACCCGTTGATATGTGACGATAGAAATATTGTTTTATTTAATAATTAAAGAGAACAAAACGATTGAAATCTCTTTTAATGATTAGCCTAAGAAAACTATTTTTTTTTAATCTTTTTGACACCTCGGTGGTCTAGCGGTGTAGCACACCGCTTTACGTCTGGTCGCAGGTCGATTCCTCGCACGGCACAAACATTTGTATTCATGAGTATGATTGTTTGTATCGGTCTGGGTATTTTCTATGTATAATATGTATGTATTTACGAAAAAAAAATTATCTATGTATTTGTATCAGTTGTCTAGTACCCATAACTCAAGCTTTAGCTAGCTTAACTTGGGTCTAGATGGCGCTGTGTGAATTGTCCTGAGATTATTATTATTATTATTATTCATCTAAATTTATCCTGGGATTTTGGTTTTCAAACATGTCAACACCATATTACAAACTAATCGGAAATTCTTAAAAATAGAACAGAATAGAATAGAATAGAACATCCTTTATTCAAATAAACTTACATTCAAGCACTTTTGGACAGTCATCACATTTTTTTTTAATCTACCGCCCATTCGGAAACCTTTCTCATCACAAGAAGAACGAGCAAGAAACTTGCATGTTGCTCTTTTAAATAATTTTATTGTTACTTTACATTTTTAAGTTGAAGTGTGTGAATACAAACCACCAATTAGCACTAATTCAATTAAATACTGAAATAGAAAAAATACTAACTGGTTAAACAATTAATAAGAGGAAATCAGTCAGTGATTAGAGCAGACCAGTCCCTACAAGCAGCATCCGTTCACGAGTAAGACGGATGAGCCAACCATCACTGCGCTCGACCGTATTTTGTTTATTAAATAATAGACAATCAAATAATTACCAACTACGAGGGATATAGATAATATATAGATATTAAATTGCTTTTATCAGAGCACACAAACAGCGCAATATCAGTAGTTTTTACTGAATGACAATGAAATGGTGCACCCGCCTGCGCTAACGGTTTACGCGGGCACCAGTGGATGATGATAAGATGAGCATGAGGTCAGGTCAGTTAGCACATCATGACAAATTCACCAAGAATTTATCACCATGGTTTCCAGGGGGAACCGCGTGGAGGTCAAGGTCAGGTGGCACCAAACCAAAGGAAGGACTTATGGAGCGCCTGAAGGCCACCGCCTGACGGATACGACTTTATTCTGAGGGCACCGCTAGGGGTTTGAACCTCGACTCAGGCAGTCGTAATATCGATCCCCGTTTGAATTGGACGGGGGATCGATCGGAGGGGGTTACAAATTGTGTAGAATGATATAATAGTAACATTACAGTATATTTTCATCAACAACATAACAGCAACTTAAACAGTAAATCCCGATGTGTGAGCTGCAGCAATAGATCCTTAGATATCTCTTTGGTGACCATCATTGTAATAGTTATCTACGGAAAACTTATTCAATAAAATGTCCTAAACTGGTCTTAAACAATGTGAAATTATAAACAGTTTGAAATGTAATGGTAAAATATTAAACAATTACATATTGATATTAACAAATTCAATTTCAAAATATCTTTATTCATGTAGATCTATTACAGACTCTTAAGATATGTCAAATCTACCGTCAGTTCAGAATGATTTCGAAATGAAAACTGACAAGAAACTCTCAGCTCGTATTCTTTTCAAATTAATATAACTATTGTGAATTTAATTTATTGTGTTGCTTCTGAAGATGTTGTAGGTACTGTCGTAGTTGGTGCTTCTATAATATTGCTCTCATCAGTTCCTTCAGTTGCTGGTGGAGTAATTTTTTCCTCAGTAAGATTTGAGATTTGATGTTCTGATGTTGTTTACAGTTCTAAAGTTGTTAATGGTTTTATCGTAGTTGGCGCTTCTGTAGTATTACCCTCATCAGATCCTTCAGTTGCTGGTGGTGTAGTTTTTTCCTCAGTGAGATTTGAGATTTGGTGTTCTGATGTTGTTTACGGTTCTAAAGTTGTTAATGGTTTTGTCGTAGTTGGCCCTTCTGTAGTATTACTCTCATCAGTTCCTTCAGTCGTTGGTTGTGTAGCTTTTTCCTCATTGGGATTTGGTGTTGTATTGGCTTTATCTACAACGGACTTTAAAAACTTTTTGATTGGACAATCGTGCGATAGTTTTGAGATATTCCCATGGAGAATGTCGTGGGCGAACTCCTTTAAACGTCTACGTTTTTCTTTTATTGCCTCGTGTTTATGTTGTAGCAAATCATATGGATCCTTTGACAGATTCCTCAGGAAGTGTTTGAATTCTGGTGATTTAAGTATTTCTGCGTCTGATTTCGGTGCACTAATCTTTCCACTAAGTACGTCATCGGCGTATTTGCTCAGTTTTGCTAAATTGACATTGGTAATGTCTGATGGTGCATCTTCTGGTTTATCGTCGTCTGATGGCGCATCTTTTGGTTTATCGTCGTCTGATGGTGCATCTTTTGGTTTATCATCGCCTGATACATGTGGTTTATGACCAAATATATGGGGCTTATGTTTGTTATCTGTAAATAAAAAAACCCAATTAGTTCATTATATGAGATATATATTTGCTAGTTTCTTCTTTATAAGGAGACCTTTTAGAAAGTAGTTCATCGATGTAGGATATCTCTGTCTCGCCTATTTGCAGCCAAGCAGCTTGCTGAGTCTGAATGTTTTCTAAGTGCATAGTGGATCTATTTAAAAAAATATCTATATATTTCTAACAGTTGCCCAGTATACAAGCTCTGCTTAGCTTGCGACTAGATGGCGCTGTGTGAGTTGTCCTGAGATTATTATATTATTACTATTATACTTACCGTGTAGGAATTCTTCGCGAATAGGATTCAATGGTGCATCGTCATCACATATTTCTGGAGCATTATAATGCTTAGAACTTTGTAAGAATTCTTCGCGTATAGGATTCAAAGGTGCATCATCGTCAAATATTCCTGGAGCAGCAACGGTGGCGGTCACCTGAAGAAAGCAAACATCATTACGATCCGTGTAACACGTATAACTCATCGCGCCAATATACAGTCGGTGGTCTAGTGGTTTAGCACACCGCTTCACTATCCGATGGTCGTGGGTACGATTCCTCGCACGGTACAAACATTTGTATTCATGAGTATGATTGTTTGTATCGGTCTGGGTGTTTTCTATGTATAATATGTATTTATTTACAAAAAAAAATGTATCCATGTATCTATATCAGCTTGGGACTGGATGGCGCTGTGTGAATTGTCCTGAGATTATTATATTATTATTATTATACATCCGTCATACTCGTGAACGAAGATGTGTTTAATCACTATGACTGTTAAATATGCTTAATTATTAGAATTTGTAACAACTTGTTAATTTTAACAATGTAGTTATAACTGTTTCACGTCGTTCCGTTGCCGTTGCCTGTACATGGAGTAAAGTAAATAGGTTAAAAAAATACTTTGGCGCCAAAATGTTGAAAAAAAATTAAAAAATAGATAATGAAAGAACTAACATATTATGGATTACTCGTGTCACAATGTTAGTTACCATACTCCTCCCAAACGGCTTGTACGATTTTTATGAAATTTTATGTACATATTCAGTAGGTCTGAGAATTGGCTACTATCTATTTTTCATACCCCTAAGTGATAAGGGTTTTGCACTATATACTAGTATATTTTTATATTTATATTTTTTTTAATATGTATCATATAAAAATACATACAACCCTAAATTTTCACCCTTATAACGTATTAATTTATATGGCAAAACAACGTTTGCCGGGACAGCTAGTATATATATATATATAAGTTTACGATTTATGAATTGCTAACAAAATCAACTCACCAAATATATCAAACAGCCTATGGTGAAATACATTTTTCTTCTTGAATTGTAAACAGTATACCACTTGCTATTCGTTTTCGGGAAAAATCCATGTGTTAGAACAAACTATCGTATTTTTATACCGAATTTAGTTCAATATTGACGTATTTTAGTATTTAAAGGGTTCAATAAAGTTGTTAAAAGAACCATTTCATTCCTTAAAATAATTACTCACTAAACGATTACTTGAATGACGAGCGTGCATGGCTATAGTTGTTCATGCACGGGATTTTCATTTAATGTTAAACATAGACACCTATATAAATATACATTGTAAATAAACTGGCTTTTAAAAACAAGTAATTCAATTGAGTTTCTTGCCAGTTCTTCTCAGTTGGATATATATACCAAACTGCACGGTAGGAAAAAAAATAAAATTATAATGAAAAAATTTGATGTTCATATGCGGCTAAAATGTCCTGCATGAATAAATGATTCTTGAATTTGAATTTGAATGCTTGCGTAATATATAACTCATTACATAACAATATATCTACTTATTTAAGTATGTAGATTAAGTTTACAGAGTACTTTATTATATATTTACAGAAATAGAAATAATCTTCATTCCAATAAACTCATTACGAGCACTTTTGAATAGTCATATTTTGATTGTACCACTATTCGGAATGCAGATTCATTACAAGAAGAATGAGCAAGAAACTTGTGTGCTGCTATTTTGAATAGATGTTTTTTTATATAAACAATTACAGTACAACAAGTAAGAGGCATGCGATAATCAACATAGAAATCGCTACACACTCATTATTAGTGTAATCAGATAATATTGTCAGTGCTATGGATTTAAAGTTTTTCTATAAAAACATTATTATCGTTAACGATTTCTTCAATTTTATAGTAAGCTTTTTTGCAAAGGAACTGTTTTATTTGACATTTAAATCTTCTTTCTGGCAGATTTATAACAGACTCTGGTATTTTATTTATCTAAACATTATTCTTAACGAATTCTTTAATTTTATAGTAAGGTTTTTTTTAGGTTTATATTTACATTACAAACACATATATCAATTGAATTATCAAACACGGTAAATAAATAGTTGTCATATTTATTTGTATTTTATTTATCTAAACATTATTCTTAACGAATTCTTTAATTTTATAGTAAGGTTTTTTTTAGGTTTATATTTACATTACAAACACATATATCAATTGAATTATCAAACACGGTAAATAAATAGTTGTCATTTGTATGTCATGGCTACAAATAAGTTTGGTGTGCACCAGCGAGACGGTACTTCACGGCGGCCATCACTTGCAATTATACAAGGCGCAGATCCGGCCGCATATGGAATACTGTTATCTCTGGGCGGGAGCACCACAATTCCAGCTACTTTCATTTGACCGCATTCAGAACCGAGCAGCCAGAATAATTGGTAATTAACGTCTATGTGACAGACTCGACCCATTGGCTCTGCGGCGAGATATTGCATCTCTGTGCATTTTGTACCGTGTTATATCACGGGGAGTGTTCTGAGGAATTGTTCGGATGTATACCAGCTGCTGTACTCCAAATTTATGTATATGTATAGACTAGTTACTCGCCCCGGCTTCGCACGCACATATATTTCATATATATATAAATCTTCCTCTTGAATCACTCTATCTATTAAAAAATCCGCCTCAAAATCCGTTGCGTAGTTTTAAAGATTTAACCATAAATAGAGACAGACAGCGACAGCGACTTTGTTTTATACTATGTAATAATGATTAAGACAACAGCCAATAATGAAAATATGAAAGGAGCTGTATTGTGTACAATTTAATTCAACTTTTATTTAAAACATTTTTTCATAGTTCTTACCTTAAACGAGTTATTTAAAAAAAAGCGTTTTTCAACCCTTTATCTAAATTTTTCATCCCTTTCCTTAAACCAAAATCCCTTTCCTTAAACCAACTTAAATCAAAACTTCTTTTCGAATATTATAATTCGTGTATTTACTCACGGACATATTATTTTATATTGCGCCATTTTTTTTATATTGGTCACATCATGTTTAATTTAAAATTTTACTACACTAGCTCGGTGCAAAAGTTTATATCAACTGGTATAAAAAAAACTCGGGTACGGAACCCGGAATGAGAAAAACGATCTCACACTTGGATTGTTTTCATAATTACATATCTAATAAAATTATTTAAACAGCTGCCACTAAATTGGCACAAATTATAGGAATTTTTAAGGTTACTATCATATAATAGGTATAGGTATATATGCTAATGAGACATACGTACGTAGAAGATATACATACATATAAATAGGTACTATATTTTTGTAGATATAGTAAATAAGATTTTTTGTATACCTAAGTACTAGCTTTTGCCCGCATTTTCGCTCGCGTTAATTTATCCCTTTAGGGGTGGAATTTATCAAAATCCTTTCTTAGGGGATGCCTACGTCATAATAGCTTTATGCATGCAAAGTCCCAGCCCGATCGGTTTAAAATTAACAAAGTTTCATACAAACTTTCATCCCCTATTTTATCCCCTTGGGGGTAGAATTAGCCAAAATCCTTTCTTAACGGATGCCTACGTCATAACATCTACCTGCATGCCAAATTTCAGCCCGATCCGTCCAGTGGTTTGGGCTGTGCGTTGATAGATCACTATGTCAGTCACCTTTGAGTTATATATATTTTAGATGTATATTTTTTTGCTGAATTTCTTCAGTTCTTCTCGTCTCGATATCATTCCGAAATGATGGTAAATTTGATATAAGAGCCTGTAATATACCTACATCGGTGTTTCCCGATTAGTGGTACGCGTACCCCCAGGGGTACGTGTGGCTATCAGTAAAAACAAGAACAATTTCCAAAACATTATTTTAATAATAATAATCTCGGGACAATTCACACAGCGCCATCTATACCCAAATTAAGCTGGCTAAAGCTTGTGTTATGAGTACTCGATAACTGATACAAATACATAGATATCTTTTTCGTAAATACATATTATACATAGAAAGCACCCAGACCGATACAAACAATCATACATCATGAATACAAATGTTTCTGCCGTGCGAGGAATCGAACCCGCGACCATCGGACGTAAAGCACTAGCGAGGTCGTCATATTTTATAACGATCATAATCGTAAAAGTACGGAGCACTGTACAATCTGACCGACCGTGCGCAATCCCGCGCCTGCCGCATCTCAGCTGCCCCCGTTATTAATGTTATTTTGTTATTAACACCGACTTTTTTTTATTTATCACTAGCTGTGCCCCGCTGTGTCACCCGCGGCTTAAGCCCATCTGTCAATCCAGGGTGTCAGCGTCAGTTACCTGTGTACCAAATTTCATTTCAAATAGGTTCAGGCGTTTTTTAGCGCCCTCTCCGATTGATCCCCCATCCAATTCAAACGGGGATCGAAATTACGACGGGTTGAACTGAGCTTCGAACACCTAGCGGTGCCCTCAGACTAAAGTCGTATCGGTCCGACGGGAGTTGATCTTCAGCCACTCCATAAGTCCTCCTTTGGTTTTGAGTGCCATCTGCACTCGCCCACTATCGTCCGGTGAAGCAGTAAAGGCCAGCTGCGGACGATATCATTATAATTGGGGGTAGGGGATTGTTAGTAATGGGGACTGTTTACCCCATTGCTAGCAATATACCATGTCAGGTTGACCTCCACGGGGTGCCCTCAGACTAAAGTCGTATCCGTCCGACGGGAGTTGCCCTTAAGCCACTCCTTAAGTCTTTCCTTTGGTTTTGAGTGCCATTTGCACGCCCCATATCGTGAGGTGCACACCAGTGCCCCCGATCGCCCCACCGATCGATACCCCGTCCAATTCAAACGGAATCGAAATTACGACGGCTTGAACTACTAAGTAGCGGTTCCTTCAGACTAAAGTCGTATCCGTCAGACGAGAGTTGCCCTTCAGCCACTCCTTAAGTCTTTCCTTTGGTTTTGAGTGCCATCTGCACGCCCCATATCGTGAGCTTCGAACACCTAGCGGTACCCTCAAACTAAAGTCGTATCAGTCCGACGGGAGTTGATCTTCAACCACTCCATAAGTACTTCCTTTGGTTTTTAGTGCCATCTGCATGCATATCGTGAGGTGAAGCTAAAAAGGCCAGCGCGGCG